GACCACACTAGATTACAACCCTACCACATCCACGAGTGACACACTCAAGGGGCGCACTTGGTGAACACCAAAGCTCCACTGAAATAAATCCTGCTCCATGGGGGTGTCTCCAGCCCAGCAGCTCTCTGGCTGTAGTTGCAGCGGTCCTCACAGCTGATTGGCCTGGGGGTCAATTCCTCCTAGTGACGCCAACAGCAACCAAAGCTCAACTACAACAGGTCAGAGCACACAGGGGAGCACCTAGAAGGCCCAGCTCAGGTGACTAGGGGAGGCTGAGCCACTGGACCCTATAGGACACCTACTACACAAAGCCACTCTACCAATTCCAGGAGACACAGCAGCTCTACCTGATACATAGAAACAAACACCTGGAAGCAGCCAAAATGCGGAGGCAAAGAAACATGTCACAAAGGAAAGAACAGAAGAAATCTCTAGAAGAGGAACTAAATGAAATGGAGCCAAGCAAGCTAGCAGATACAGAGTTCAGAATTTTGTTTATAAGGATGTTTAAGCAGACTATTAGGGAAATAACTGAGAAAATCGATGATATAATAAAGCACCAATTTGAAATGAAGGCTACAGGAACTGCAATGAAGAATAATTTACAGGAAATCAACAGTAGAGTAGAGGACGCTAAGAATCAAATCAGCAATTTGGAACATGAGGAAACAAAAACACCCAACCAGAAGAGCAAAAAGAAAAAAGAATCCAGAAATATGAAGATAGTGTAAGGAGCCTCTGGGACAACTTCAAGAGGCCCAAATTCATCTTATTGGGGTGCAAGAAGGGGAAAAAACAGACCAAGAAATTGAAAACCTATTTGAAAAAATAATTACAGAAAACTTCCTCTACCTGGGTAAAGAAATCGACTTAAAAGTCCAGGAAGCAAAGAGGGTCCCAAATAAGAGGAACCCAAAGAGGCCCACAGCAAGACACACCATATTAAAATGCCAAAGGTTAAAGACAAAGAGAGAATCTTAAAAGCAGCAAGAGAAAAGCAATTAGTTACCTACAAGGGAGCGCCCATATGACTGTCAGCTGATTTCTCCACTGAAACTTTGCAGGGCAGAAGGGAGGGGCAAGAAATATTCAAAACAATGAAAAACATGGAACTACAACCAAGATTGCTCTACTCAGCAAAGCTATCATTTAGAATTGAAGGTCAGATAAAGAGCTTCACAGATAAGAAAAAGCTAAAGGAGTTCATCACCACCAGACCAGCACTATAGGAAAAGTTGAAGGGTCTTCTTTAAGAAGAAGCTAATGAACAAAACAATCTGCTGAACTAAATAGATCCAGAGACATTGACGCATGTAACAGATGATCATATTTCAGAGGGAAGAGTGAAGGGGGGGTGGAGGGTGGGCTGAGATTAACCAAAGAAGTTATATGCATATATGCTTAACCCATGGACACAGTTAATAATGGGGTGAAGGCCTGGAGAGGGGGTGGGAGCGACACGGAGGGGGTCAGTTGGGGGGGAAAATGGGACACCTGAAATACTTTCAACAATCAAGATAAATTAAAAAAACAAAAACAAAACAAAATCTAAGATTTAAAAAATATATGTATGTTCATCATTTAAACTCTCTTATGAAGCAGTTCTCTATGTCTCACCTGGAACTGCATGCACGTACTTTGAGAAGAAGAACTCTCACCAGTAAAGAGCCACTGTCCACCCCTGGGAACTCACCTCCCCCTCTGTAGACTGCAAATGGAGCTCCTTCCTGCAGGTGGCCTTGAAGTCTCCTGCAGCTGCACGCACCTGGACCCCTCGAGGAGCTTCCATTATCAAGGACCTGGTTGGTGATTCAAGTCTAAAGGAAAAACAAATGAATCTCTAATAGTAAAAATTAAAAAAAGATATGATGGACTAAAAGATAACATTAGTCAGCTAAAAACAAAGAAGCAGGTAAGAATAAATAAAAATCTGCCATTATTAAAAAACAACAACCCAAAGTGAGGTTAAAAATGATTTTTGATTATTTATTTTTTGTCTTGTTATAAAACTGTTGGCATCAATTATTTACTCTTATTTGTAAAATAAGTGTCTTATATTGTTTCCATTCACAATGCACATGAAAAGCAGGTCATGATAAGTTTACTTGTTTAAATCTTTTATACATTATCAATATTAATGATGGAGTTTAAATAAGTAAATTTAAATAAGTAAATTTCAGGAAATTGGGCATTTATCCCTCAAGGAAAGAGTCAGTTTCTTGTGAAGATGAGAGAGCTTTCATGGAAATCATGAATATTGTGAACTGCCAAGCATGCGTAGTAAAAACTGTGTAAGCTTGACAATTTTCAAAATCCTCCTTACACTTCCAGAAATTAATTAAAATGAAGAAATAAGGTAGTTCCTCCATCCACTGACTTCCACTGGACGAGGAAAATGTTCCACAGAATAAATGACATTAGTCTGAGGAAGAAAACTTAAACGAGGGGTGATACACAAGCACAAATGTGATTCAAGTTTGACTACATCATGTTTCAGAAAAGAAGTGTTTAAGACAGTTGTGCCTGCCAAAAAAGGCAGTGGGAGGCAGTTTCAAAATGATCTTGAAGTATAAAACTAGAGAAAAGAGCCAAAGAAGGCAGAAAACAGAAGATAGAATGCGGTCGTAAGAAGCACGGGGGTGAGAAGAGGCTGCATCCCTGCATCGGTCTTTTTGGGGAGTGCTCTGCTCTGGGCTGCAAGGGCCTGGGCTTTCTTGGCCACAGGAGTTCAGGCCCAGTCGCGCCAGGCTCGCATTCACCATCACTCAGAGCAACTAGTTTACTCCGAGGCCGTGGATCCAGAGCTGTTTTGCAGAGAGAACCACATTAAACAGTTTGATCAGCTCCCTCAGCAGTGAAGTTGGAAGTGATGTTGAAGCACACAAACCAGCATTTAGCAAAAAGTGATTTGGACACGTTCAAATGTTCTGCTTTGTTTTCTTTTTTTCCCCTGTTCACAAAACCAACTTTGAAACTTTCATCTCTAGGGGCCTCATGGACATCGTCCTAAAATCCATGTGTGTCATGTTTTGAATACAAATACTTTAAAGAAATCTCTGTATTTTGCTGTTGTTTTTATAAATAAAGCACATTTTCACAGAATATTTGGAAACTTAAAAAAGCCACTCATAATTTTTTCATTCATGATCCTTATACTTGAACACAGTATCTAAATTTCAAAATCTGAATGTTAAAATGTATATTTTTAATTAATTTCCCCAGATATACCTCCAAATCTACACCACCTTGAGTAGTGTATCTGTGACCACTACTATTTCCATTTGGTAATTATCTATAAAACAGGTTATGAATCTGACATTCATGGCAACGCAACTCAGTGACTTTATAAAGTGGGAGGAAAAGCACAGTTACTTTATCAAATAATTGATATGATTTAGTTTGTTTCTGAGGATAAGGGGTTGGGGTTCTGACTCCTATATTTAACAGTAAAATATCCACATTAAATATGTACATTTTTGTACCACATTTCTACCATGTTTGACATTTGGGATTAGAGCATTAAAATATATTAAGGATTTCAGGGCTCCTGAGTTTTTCCATTCTCATATTTATTTAATCATATTTTTCTCATGATATGCAGGTATCCATCGCCACCATAGCCAGAGAATAGAGTGCTTTGCTAACTGGCTGAGGGGCGGTAAAGGGTGAGAGCTGGCTGGACCTGGGTTCAGGAAAGTTAGCCAGCAGCCATAAGCCTCAGTTTTACTGTCTCTAAATTGACAAGTATAGTGTTTTCTTACAAGATTTGTAAGAAATTTCTTAAAAGAATTATGGACATCAGTACATGGTGGAATAATAATTGGAAGCATTAGTGGAATTTTCTCTCCAGTCCCATTTCTTTGCCTCTGCCTCCCCTTTCCCATTCCCACTCCCACTCCCACTCCCGCTCCCACTCTCACTCCCACTCCCATTCCCATTCCCACTCCCATTCCCATTCCCACTCCCATTCCCATTCCCATGCACTGATCCTTTGCCACAAATGGTGGATGATAGAGCAGAGTTTCTGAATCTAATAGATATTTTGAGCTTTAAAAAAATGCTAGCCATTTAATGTGTTGAGAATGATCCAGCACATAAACATCAGAAGAAAACCAAAATCAGTGAGAATGTATTGTTTGTTCCAATCCACTAGAGACCTATTTTCTTGATTCACAGGACAGAAAAGGTTTGGAGGGAAATCAATAGAATTGGTCTTCAGTGGGTCGGCCGCTGTGTTGTCTGCCTGAGGCCAAGCCCTAGGTTGTCAGACCTTTATTCTTTGGGTGTTAGAGGTCTGAGAAGAGTAGGGGTGTCTCAGGATAACTGAGGACCAGGAGCCAAAAGATTCTCAAAGGGGTTCGGAGGAGTGGCATGTGGCGAATGAAGCCTAAGTGGGGTAGAGAATGAGATGCTTTTGGCAAATGCAAACTTAAATCACGAGGCTACCAATGACCAAGTGTCACCCCCAAATGCTTTGGAACAGTATAAACACCTTGATACAATGGTGCAACCCCAGGGAAAGAAGGGAACTGAACAGACTAGGACTTAGTTTCGGATAATCAGTGTAATGGAGGCCAAACATATCAATTAAGTTGTACAAGAGGAATATTTCGATTTCTTGTGCAGCTAATTTTGTGACTTCAGCAGACACCTTCTATATTATAATGTATATATATAACATATATATATTATCAAAAGGTACATAAAAACTGATAAAATTTTTATAGTGTTGCTAAATCTTTCAAGTTTTGACATGATTAAGACTTTGAATTAAACGGGCTCAGTTGTATGCTTTGTTAACCTTGATAAAGTTAAATGTAGTGCCCATTAGGGAATAATATGTTTTATTAAAAGTAGCACTGTTTGTTTTAAATAGTATCCAATATTCAGAAGAATAATATTATACCAGTAACTTAAAATTAATTATGGAAAGTGTGCAGTTAAAGAATATGCAGTAAAACCTTATTAGAATGTTTGGGAGATTTCATAATTCTATTTTAAATGATCAAGTTGTGGTAGTCAAATATTTTCTATGAACATAAAAATGAAAGTAAGTTTGCAAATTATTTTTACATGCTTGCCTGACTAGCATAAGCAAATAAGTATTTTGTGGGCAAAAAGTCATAACAGGACTGTGATATATATGAAGACCTAAAAGTTCAAATTGACACTATTGTGAATAGCATGAATTCATTGCGATCATTTATAGATGCATATATTATATCTGAATCATCTATATCAGTATCTGTAATTACTTATATACATACATTTACATATATGTGCTCACATTACTTACCTAGAGCTGGTCATTGTCTCTAGGTTTATCACATGCTAAATAGGGGAAAAAAAGATATTTCTCCACAAGTGGTATGCAAACTTTGCTCTGCACCTCTATCTAAAGGTCAAGTGCTAAACTCCACGCAGTCTAACAATGAGAGGGTAATCTTTGCATTTAAGCACATTCAGGCCTTCTAAAAAGCTTTGAAATTAGGTAGGCATATGACTATGATATCATCTATTCAAAACCACATAAGACAGATTGAGATAAAATTAACAAAAAGGAAAAAGAAATAAAAGTAGGCATCATATATTACTAGACCTATCAGCTTATCAAAATGGTTTGCTGATTGTGAATTAAAGTACCTCGTTGACCATTTTATAAAATTTTCCCCAGGCCTTTACTAGAAGGTGAGTGTTTCTAGGATATTAGGAATTTCAGGATAATAGAAAAGCTTTACTGATGTTGAAAGTGTGACTGCATACCTTAAAATAACGGATGTTACTTCCAAGAAGAAATCCTGGAGACTGAGGCATAAAGTCACTGACATTTAATTACTATGCTCAAAAGTGACATCAACCTAATGGAAGAACTAAACGTAGGATTTGAGTTAAGAAGCTCACAGGTTCTACATGACTTTTACTTTAAATTTCAAATCCAGTTAATCTCTCCGAGGCTCAGTTACCTAATAAATAAAATCACAAAGCATCTTAAAAATAGAATATTGTAACCATTGCAAAACATCATTAGATTTTCCCTTCTTTATTATTGAGTTAGCCGTATAATTATAATAATATACTAAAAGCTTATGCTTGGGGGAAAAATACAGAAAGCTATTTTTAGAATAAAACACATTTTCTTGTCCTTCATCCAATAGTTGACTATTTACCATGAGCAGAAAGTGTCAATTCTTCATGCAGGTAGGTAGCGCATTTTCTGCGTGAGTTCTTTGTGTCAAGGAGGGTCACGGTGATGGAAACAGTGCGCAGGGGTCGGGCCGGGACCTACCTGAGGTCTTGGGACGGCTCTGCTCGGATGTGAGGCGTCTCCACAGAGTGTCCGAACACGGCGCCTTCGGTGCCTGCGGGCGACACGGACCCGTCAGTGTAAGCAAGGGGATGCGTACACTGGCTTTCGTTTCTATTTCATGGCTCAAACGTGCTTCTAAAAATGGGACGACTGAAAACAGGAACACAGGACATAAGAGAAAAATTGGAAAAAGAGTTCGAGGTAGTGCAGGGCCGGAGACAAAGCTAAATGTCACTGTGCTGACCACTTCTAAGGTGATCCTATTTATAGAAGTGCAGACTGGGTGAGAATTTGTACCGTTTCACCAAAGACCAAAGACGCATCTCCTTCCCCTCTTTCATTTCCCAGGTGAGTGAGCCTCCTGGGGGACGAATAGGTCACAATATGCAGTTCTTTCTACAAACAGCAGAACATGAATGAAAACGTGAAGGGTGCCTCCAGGGCAGTATATTATTAAGTGTTCGAAGGCATAGGTCCACGGGGACTTGAGCATCTCCCACATTCAGCTCCCACCTTGGTGAGAGTGACCATCCAAAGGCAGAGAACTGGGCACCCTCCTGTGACCTCACTGGGAGAAAGGCTCCATCTAAGACGAGAACTCCTGGATAGGGTCAGAGCTATCTGACGAGGCCATGCCCTCTAACAACTGAAGCTTTCGTTTATTGACTGCTTGCTTTTCCAGGTTCCCAGAGCTTTCCCAGAATTTCACTGAGCAAAACAGAATGACTTTCCTTTTCAAAATTAAATGCAGAACACAGTTTTCAAAGAGGATCATGAAGACAAAACCTCTGTTTTTTGTAATTTCACATAAATGTTTTATATCATTTCTTTCAGGATAAACTTTATTTTCTTTTGGCTTATTCTTTCTCAAATTTCTTTGAGTAAGAAGGTTATGGCTGCTCCATCGGTGGCCTCAACACTAGCTTAGTAATACAATGCCATTGGAAAATAAAAAAAAATTCTTAGCGATAGGTCTTTGAAATAAAGTGACAACTTTAGGTAAAACTTTAATTTTGTGATTGTGGTGGGGTGGCATTTGAAAAAACATTCCAAGATATAAATTTTCACATCTCAAGGAGAGACCTCTTCGGCATTAAAAAAAATAAGATACAACTTCTAAAAGGGATATAGTATCCATGAGTAAAGTTCAAAGATTCATTTCCACTGTTCTATGATTTGGAAAACCTCCGAGACAAGATAGCAGAAATATAACTAAAGAACAGCAGTCACGTGCATTTTCAAACAGAATGGCACCTGGTGATTTAGCACAGAATATATCAGTGAAAGGGGAAGTGGGACGCTATCGAAGGTGCAGTTTCCAAAGAGGATTCGCAACTGATAAAGGCCTCAGTTCCTAGTATCACTGCAGACAATTATTGATGACTTAAAAAAATAATTCTTAAGGAACTAAATGTATAGCTGTACCACCCAAGGGGCGAAGTTGAAAAGCAAATAAAACAGCAAATAATTAGCTAAGGTTGGGCCTCCAGATAGAGAGAAAATGACTCTCATCTTTTCCAGTTTTCTCCCAGAACGAGCCAAAGGGGCAAGAGTACTGGGCAGTGATGAGGAGCTCAGGGGAAGCCCGTGGGGGCGGGAAGGCCGTCTGAGCCAGGCACAAAGGCCAAGAGGAGGAAGATGCATCCCCATGAGCTCAGAAATGCTGGCTAACAGGGTGGGCTTAGCCACTAAAATACAGGGCACCCAATTAAATTTTCATTCCAGCTAAACATTAAACCATTTTAAGCATAGACACAATATTTGAAGAGGGTATGCTTATACTAAAAATAATTTGTTGTTCCTCTGAAATTCGAAATGAACTTAATCATTAGTCAACATTTATTTGGCACAAAGGGTACAGATCCGACTTATTCTCACTTTAGGAAAAGAAAGAAGGTGTGATGACCCTCACATTGCAAGTTATAGAAACCATGGGAAACAACGCAAGAGGGGAAAAGGGCAGAAGGAACAAAGAATAGCCATTTACTCATAGGTAGATTTAAGCTTATTGACTAAACATTTGTTGTTTATTGCTGTCGTAAAGGGCTGTTTAAAAGGATACAATGTACACTTTTGATTGACTGCATGGATGCTAAGGGATATTTCAGAGACCTTAAAGTGGACGTGATGTTGCAAGATTTAAGAAAAACGTAGACTGTTAACCATCCTGATGCTCAGGAAAAATGAGCCAAGCAAACTTCAGGGTGAAAACGTACTGGATTTCATTCCTATGATACTTTATGGCTTCAAAATACAACACTAAGGATGGCACAGAATGCTTTGCTGCAAAGGATCAGTGTATACAGACTGTGCTTCTGCTTTATATTTAGAGACAGTTTAAGACATAAGCTAGGATGTTACTCACAAATGCTCAACATAAAATGTCACCCCACAAAAAATGGAAAAAAAAATCATTAAAATGAAATGTGTGTATCCTTCCTCATGTGGCTATGTGTACCGTAAATGCTATCCTCAAAGCTACTCGTTATGAACCTGTTGGCATCCATATGTCCTTGGGGAAGTCATTTGCCTCCAAACAGGCAGCATAAGAAATGGAAATCAGAAACACTTGGTATTCCCAGGTCCTTCCTTAACTTTATAGTAACTGAAAAAAGGAAAGTTCTGTGAAATGTAGCATCTCTCCAGCCACCAGCTGCATGAACTCTACTGCAGTTAATTTCAGATATAATTTTATGATATTATTGGCTTTGTGTGGGAGACTAAAGATCAGTAATGCACACGAAGCCAAGCAGATACTGTTTCCTGCTGTGCTTTGAAATATTAGTTTTACATAAATTATCTCATTTGCTCACAGACCTTTTTAATAAAAGTAGATAATGTATTGTTTACACCTCAAAAATTAGAAAGCTCTAAGCAGGGAAATGAAATACCTCATTGATGAGGCTAGAGTCTCGGCCTTTGGGTTTTCTCTACGTGAACACTGCACACTTGGAACTGAGCAGACTTGGGAAGCAACCCCAGCTTCTTCATTCCTACCTAAGTGACCCTGAGAAGTTATTTAATATCTCCAAACGTCAATTTCCTTAGACATAAATAAAAACAGTAGTGCCGGCCTACAGTTTAAGGTAGATTTTGCTTAAATAGGATATAAATGTATCCTGGTCCATCGTAAGAATTCAGTATTCCTTAATTCCCCCTCTCCATCACTTTCTTTTATGACAATCAGCCACAGAAGGTGTACACATTGCGAGTGTAGAGTTAATGGCCCAACACGGGTCACTCATTAATACATGAAAGCTCTATTCCCAAAATGTCACGGCCTCATGCTGAATTTTGAAATCTTAAATTTAGACACTGTAAAGAGATTCTTAAATGTCAACTAGTAAATGTATTTTATAAAACCAAACTCTATGCAGTAGATCAAGGAATTCCCCAGTGCAGCTGCTCAGGTGTCAGATAAGATCAATCAGTGCTCAAATAAGCTCTGTGAAGACAGACTTCTAAATAAGATATTGTATCTGGTACAATCTCACTTCCTAATTGAGCTTTATCCTAATGTTTAAAACATTGAGAAAGTATGAAAAAATTCTCTGACTTTTCTGTTTTATATTGATTAGTTCTCTGTGCAGGATGTAATAGAAATGCATCATTTGAATAGCTGGAGTAGGTGAAGCAGTCTTTAACTCTACCAGTGTTTTACTTTCCTTTTAAAAATGAAAGAAAGAGTTAAGGAAAGAGTAGGACAGGACACCATTCCTTGAACTATTTCCCTTTTCAATGTGAAATCTTAGTCATTGATTGAATTGGTAAACATTCCAACATAGCAATTAGCTCTAAGAACTTCAGGGGGAGAAATCTGAGTAATTATTAGCCACACCACCTCCCATATCCAACCCATAAGATTGTTAGAAGACCTAAATAATCAAAATCCAACTAACCTTAGATAGCATTTTAAATTCTTACCCTGAAATAGGGCTGAGTCCAGGGCAAATACATCTAGATGTCAGGAGCAAAAATATTTCTATTTTTTCACTATCTCCAAGTTTGATCCTGTGCTACTGAACACATACAAATTCTTTGGTATATTAAATTGAAAGTCACTTTATAAATTATAAATATTTTTTATTATTCTTTTTGATATCAGGGACCTTTTTCACTCTGTAGGTGCATTTTCTAGCATTTTATCTAGCATAATACCGACATTCACTAATATGTCTGTCTGATGTTGTTTTCATCATGTGGAAGTGAGATGAAGGACACAGCAGTAGGTCGCTGCCTGGGAAGGGAGCAGTCCTCAGGCTTCACCGGGTCTCAGTGTATGCTGCTTCCAAGGGGGGGAAGGCCTGGCACAGAATGCTGGCTGTCCTGGAGAGCTGGAGAGAAGACCCGAGAGAGACAAGCCAAAACCAAAGGGGAAAAGATACCAAGAAAGACTGGGACACCTCTCACTGTGGGAAAGGAAGCTAGAAAGGAGTAGAAATCTCTAAATTCTATTTTAAGTTATGTGTCTTGATGTTTGTCAAAGGAGGTTTCCTGCTGTCTTCAGGTTTTCAATAAAATCTACCAGGATCAATTATATTTCCGAGGGGTTTTTGTTTGTTTGATGGGGGACAAGGAAGGGAATGAGCCTTTCATACAGATCAACAGGAACAGAAGAGAGAACAGTGGAGGAATCCAGGCGCCCAAGGAGCCTTTACGGGCCCTGCCCTCTGGCCATGACGATTCGGGGGAGTTTTAAATTCCTACACTAGAGCACAGATAAGGTCCAAGGGCAGATTCCTCTAGATTCAAGGGCCAGAAAGGGTCCTATTTATTCATTATTTTCAGATTTGAACCTTTGCTACTGTTTTCTTTCTCCTTTATTTGCCATTCCTTTCTCCCCAAATTTAAATTGGTCAAGTCAAAGGTTGGACAGGGAACACTTTCATTCTATTGCCGTATCTGCTGCGAATTCACACGTTGATCTCTGACAAGTATTTAAAGCCCTCTGGGTATTATTTGTAAAATTAAGCTCAAAATAACATGATGGCTTAGGTGCTTCAATTTCTAACTGTCACAGTTATATGATTTTTTAAAAACATGTCAAAGCAT